TTTAATCGATTAAATCAAACAATATTATCATGGCAGGTTATATATAGTCCATTCTCACCTACACCAATGTGACGTTAAATCAAGTGGCATGCAGTGGTATACCAAAAATTATTGTGTCACTAATTTTATTTTACCCTCCATATTCTGTATTTGAGCTGGGAGAATGATATATAGTCAGGAAGATTAAATAGGTTTAGGTTATCTCCTCGTATGCTAAAGTTACCTACTGCTTCTGTTGCAGGAATTTTATGATTTGGTGTCTGGACTGTTTAAAATCACAATAACTTAATACTTTTTCTGGATACTCTAGGCAACTATACTGATTATTGGGTTTTATTGGATGCACTTTCCTTTAGTTAATATAAAAATTTTGTAATATTATTTGGCCAAAGGACCACAGAATGACAATGGAAATGAAACAGAATGCAATAATTTGATAAACTTAATAAATATAAGTCAGTGTGAATTTGTAAAATGATAACGTTCTATGCAGAATTATTAAAATCTGTATATTACTGAAATCATTACTTGAAGACCTTTCCAAAAGTGCCAGGAACAATATTGTATGTATATTTTTAACCTTTATACAGACAGCAGGAGCACTGTCAACTGAATTTGCATCTCATAGCAGGAACCAACACTATTGCTTACTGCATAATGAAGAATCAGAATAACAATAAGTTACCTTGTCAGATGATTTTTTTTTTTATTTTTGAACTATATAGAGCAAGTAATTTTATCATTAACAATTCAGTAGGTACTTAACAGATTTGTTACACAAGATCATTTTTAATTGTGGGTTTTGAGCACATGTGTTGATAATAGTATTCCTATTTTCAAAATCATGAAACATTCCCTATGACAAGGACAACATGCTTTGTGTTTGCCCGTATATTCATGGTTTTGGTAAAAAAATACATTCTGAACTTGCCGTAGCAAACATTTATATTCTTCTGATTTGTTTAATAATTTTGAGATCATGATAAAACATTACATCTGTTAAAATCTCCACATAATTCTCCTAGAAAGCTATTCAATAAATATGTGTGGGAGAGAAAGTCTGATTGGACTAAACTTACATGGAAAGCCAGGTTAGTAGGAAGATGCAATAGCTGCTGTTAATATAGTGAGATAGGCTTTAAGATAAAGAAAAGATTATGTGTTAAAATAGTTATCCAGTTTTTGAGTTTTTAAATAAGCAATACTTTTCCAGCTATGAGCTATGCAACAGACTGTTTGCTTACAAAAATAGAACAAGATTATCAAATAACCTAAAACATGTTTTGCATTTACAGAACTCTTTTTCTCCTACAAAATTTACTTGAAGCTTTAAAAAAGCAGGCTAAACAATTTGCCTTCTCCCACTTCACACTGAACCAGGAAAGGTTGATCCTGAAGCAAAATTGGTCCAGAATCCATAGTGTCATGTATCACAGCTAGTATTCATAATGCCACTGAGATGATACCTATATATCCCAAGAAAAGATTGCTCAATGAACTCATCATATTTGCAAACAAAGAGAAGACTGACAGGGAGTGTACTTATTTAATCCAAGAACCATTTAGTTTCAATTGATTTCCTATTGACTTTAATAGAATTTGAATTTATTTTCTCTGGGAAGACATACATGTAGAAGACCCCAAGCATGAAACTTCCCAGTGAACACATTTCCAAGCTGTGTGGAACTCTAGCTGCATTTGGAAGGTTAAGTTTATGTCATTAGTATCACTTATCCTTCTACACATTATTCTGTATGGCAACGTTGAAACCCCTGCACAGTGCATGACATGTTAATACTAATCTGCTAATGTGTGAAATAGTATATTCATATCTAACTGCTTTACATTCTCTGCTTTTGTTGCTCCTTTTCAAATGCTTGAAAGTATGGTAAAAGAGATGAAAGTTTCAGGTTCAAATAGCTTGAAAATAAATCTATATTTATGCTAAAACATCTGTGTTTCCAGTCAAGCAATGTTTGGACTGCTATATTCCACTTATTTTGTACTGCCTCTCAGGAGAGAATCATCCTGGGAGCTATTATTCCTGTGACAGAATTGTCTGCATGTTCTGTACAACTGTACAGGACAGTATAATGCCTGATAGAGATATTTTGGAACAACAGACAAAATGAGTCTGCTGCAAAAGTATGCTGAAAATTATTTATAACGTCTTAATTTTTTTTCAAACTATGACATGGACTACAGTACAAGTATTACTGAGGGTATGTGATAATCAGGGATGATCATCATGATAGCACTATCTAAAAAGATCATGAATTACCTGGAACTTCAACAAGTATTTTAGGCTTGATTTAATTTCAGCAAGTAATGATTATTAATAATTCATTAAAAGCAATCTGATAAATTCCCATTGATGACAATGGGAAACATTTTGCATCCCATTATCATTATTTCTGCAATACAAATCTGTATCTTTGACATTATTTGTCGGTTTTTATCACCAGTTGTGCTCTAAATCAAAAGGTTTCCATATTCACTATTGGGAAGAAGTACCTTAGTATATAAGAACATGAATAGACTGTAGTAATATGTTGATTATTATTTTGCCAGTTGTAGATAGGGGTACTAAAGCTGAATAGAGGGCTCTGTAATCAGAAAGGAATAGTATTAAATATGTAAACCACAGATCATACACTCTGATATTGAAGGTAAAGAGGCATAAAATAAAAGAACAAAGTTGATACTATATGTATTGTCTATTTATTCATTTGTTTGTGATTGATGGATATAGAACAAAGAGTTTCCTAGTAAAAAATGCTTATGTACCTACATGTAGTGACTCTGAAATCTGTACCTTGAGGACAAAGAAAGGTCGCCAATCTCTCCAACTCCTAGTTCTTTGTCAAAAATGGACACAGTTAATGAGGTTTGTTTGGTACAGCACAAATTCTCAGATACAGATAGAGATCCTTTCAATGGAAACAAATTTGTTTGGCTTTACCAGGTTACTTAGCGATTAATAATAGCCTTGAGATGCAGGTCAGGAAGGTCATCGTCCCTGCTTGCCAACACAATCTAAAATGTGCAGCTACTCCGGCTCTGCAGGCTTTGAGGCCCCAGAACACTATGCATAAAGTAAAACAGGCTATTTTCCAACTTCTTTTTTCATATTAATAAGCAATTTTCAAGAGAAGGGTGGCAAAATGGGGGCCATGCCACTCTAAGTAATTCATTTATTTTGCAATTTAATCTTATGTTGGAAAAAAATTACACTGCTGCAAAAGCATAGCATGGTGATTTTTAAACGTCAGTGTGCTTCATAAGTAACCTTGTATGAAATATTGTATTAGCAGCCTTTAACAGTAAACTGCAACAAAAAATATTTTCAGAGATTCAGAAATACCTGTGCATCTTTTCTGCTCTGTATTTCCTTTTAATTATATTTTTCTTTTACAGTTGAAATAAAATGTTTAATTACTTAATATTTTACTTATTTTAATTGATAAAATCTTGAAAGATAGCATGAAACAAATCAAAGTTCTACACCTCAACTTGTATTTAAGAATGTAATTTCAAAGTGTTCATATTTACAAACCAATTATTGCTCTTTCATATATTTTGATGAACTAATTTAATGATAATTAACATATTAAGAGTAAGTCTGAATCACAATATTAAAAAACACTTTTGGGAGCAATGTGCCTTTTCCATGGGATTATTCATATCAGCAAACTTACCCACGTGCATATTTTGACATGATTTTACCCACGCCCTCACACTGTCTTATTTGGTACTCATTGAAACAACTGAGACTAATAATGTGGACCTCTCTAAATAATCTGTTTTGCAGGAATATTTGAATTATGAATATTTAGTTATGTGAATAATATTTTTCTTTTTATTTTATTGTATATACATGTACTAAGAAACATAAGGACTAGAATTTACTCACCTAATTAAACTTTTTAGCAATCTAAATGCTTGACTGAATATGTTTGGTTTCTTTGGCACACAGGTTAATTTGAACTAGCCATTTTGTAATAACAAAATTAACAAATGTTAATCAAACTAACCTTTTTTAACTGGGTCAAAAAATTCTATACACGTGCACTGTGCACAATAGCACAGAATTTTGTTTCTTATAGAACATTAATTCACTCTACTGTTTGCATAATTTATGACAAGCCTGTCTCTGTGAAAAAAAACCAACATCAATTTGGAAATCTATGCCCATTTTTTGATCACATTTTCCTGTAAACATTCAGTTGAAATAATGAGTTTTCTGCATTCTTTGAAACCTGGTATCGCGTATAGTTCTGTATTTCTTTTATAATGAAAGGGTTTTCTGCACAGACTCACACATTTAGGTGACTCTGTGTGTGTGCACATCTCATTCATGAAGCAGTTCATTTCCTGGTTCTTGTGGTGGCCTCTACAGCTCTCATCAAACCAGAGCAGAAATGACCTGTGCAAGGAGCCCAATGCCACAGGAACTCCTCCCAAGGACAATGTATGCATGAAAGGTTCCCATCCCATTTTTCTCTGCACCTACTTTCTCAACCTTACTCAAGGATCCAGGAGTGAATATCATCTCCTATCCCATGTCTGCTATGCTCTCTCATTCCATAAAATCTCCCCTGTCTGCAGATCAGGAGGTGTTGCAAGGCACTAGCTGAAACATAAGTTAACAAACTGTATTTATATTACAATAGCCTCCACTTAGAGAAATTCAAAGTAAAATGAAACTTAAAGGCAAATAAAAGGACTTAAATGTATACTATTTCATCAAGCTGTAAGCAATGTGAACCTACATACTGCTCCTAATTGATAATTTTAATCCTGTTTCTTCTTAGTTATATCCATGTAGTATCCTACTGCTGTGGAACTGAAAAAACAGTAATTTTACATTCCAGTGGTGTCAATATACTGCTAATATATTGGAAGAAAATACTGTGAAGCTATGAAAGGGTTAAAGTAAAATAGAAGACTAGCACGTATTTTTTTGTTATAATATAGTTAGCAGACTTATTTTGTTACAGGCATGAACTTCAAGAGTACACAGAAATGAAGGAAAATGAAGAGAAAATGAAAGACCTAGAAAAGAAAGACAAGGAAAAGAAATACCAAGCCCGAAAGATGCATTACCTCCTTAGCACTAAGCAGGTTGGTGGACCTGTCCCTGACAGCTCATGCAAACCACTTGGGCCCCCAGCCTGACAGAGATAAACTAGCAGGCTGAATGGGACATGACTTGTTGAAAAGATATCACAAAGACACTACTTCGAGTTCAATTTAGTGCTTTTCTATAGGCAAGAGCAGGTACCATGACTATTCTGTGACAGTAGCTCATAGAGGCAGCATCAGCACTGCTGGCAGAAAGAGTCCAAGTCAGCAGTTTGATCTGCTACTGTGATAACACAACATGAAGGGCATAACCTCGCTCTAAAAACTCATTTTGACTGGCTTATTGTTGTGTTGTTGCACTTGTCAAGAACTAACAAGTTATTAAGCTGAGAAGGGATTTGATTTTTTTTCTCCCGTTTTTAATTGAGCTAATGCTTAGGTTGGTGCAGAGTTCTGCTTGTTTTTAGGATAGATTGTAAATGTGGGTTTTTTAGCTAAAGCTTTTCTTAGAACTTCCTGAATCAGCTTATTTAGCATGATTTTTTTTTCACTCAAAAATACCCGATATATCTTAAATATTTATTATTAATTCATTTTGTATCAGTATTACTGGTATATTATTCCAAAATTTCTTATGGAAGCTGCTTTAAACAGATAGGTAAACATGCCAGTAGATATATCTTACATAAATTTAATATGATTGGTAAAGCTTGTGCGTTTGCCATTTTTTTAGTCCCCTTTTCTAAACTTTCATAAAAAAAAGAAAAGGATTTTTTCTCCATAACTGTTTGGTGGCTGATTGTTCTTTGTACAGATATTGAATTAAATCTGAACTAAATGCTTGCTTTTTAAAAGTTGTTAATCATAATCTATTAAAGAACTGCCAATCCTAAAGAATGAAGGAAAAATACTATTACACTTCATTAAAAAATAATATGCCCTTCTGTTTGGGAATTATTTGTGATATATTATATCCTGTAGATAGAAATGTGGTTTGATTGTGTTTAAGTATTTTTTATAAAGCATAGTATAATATAAGGAAAAATAGCATAAAAAGTTTTCTCCATGGCTATTAGACAAGGATGCTAGTTAATGACTGAAATTAGCTCATATAATTTATTTTTCCACATGTAGATCTAGGATATTAAGAATAATCTGCACAGTGTCTTACATTGTTTTTAACTGTAGAATATTGGGAATTCTTATTTTGAACAGTGCAATTTATATAAACATATGCATTTAATATGCTTACCTGAAGCACAAAAATTGTCACGTTGGAGACATGGAGTGACTTGTGGTCTAGTTAAGATTTTAGTAAGGTCAGTTCACCTCCAATGATACAGGCTTAGCAAGTTGTAGCACTTTTAAAGGAGTGGCAAGTAGTTCTTAATTTCAGCCATGGAGGACTGCTGCCATGGAGGGCAGCAGTAACTGTTATGTTCTGATGAATTTTGTTTACTAATTTTACAAAATTAGAATTTAGCTGGCAGTGTTTTTAACTAGCAGAACAAAAAAATTCTTGGTTTTGCTTGTTGAGATGGTTTGTGAATACTGAGACTCAGAGTCCACAGAAGTTTTTCTTTATCAGACAACTGTGCTCTAAGAGCTGTCTTCTTTTGCAGGTAGTATTTCAAAACATGAGTAAATGTAAATCAATGGAAAACCTACAGACAACTTGAAAACCAGTAAAGATATATTTGAAGTTAACTACTGACTGTGAAGCCTGTATTCCACTGCTCCACATAGTTGTAGAATCTGATAACTTCCTAAGATACATGGCAAATTATTTCTATGCAGAATTTACTGGTTTGATGCTTTGTGACTGACATTTTATTCTCTGAATGTCTGGTTTTCTGACCTAGCTACAGCTACATCTTGCTGTTTTCCAAGAACAGTTAATTGGATTACTGAGCAAGGACATTCATGTTTCAGTAGAAACAGGCAGCAAAAGTCAGCACTTTTGAGTGAGTTAAGAAAACATATAAATTGTAAGCAGGGCACATAGCAAATGAAAAGAGGAATTTGATAAGCTGATTTATTGTAGACTCATACATTACCTAGAGCCCAGTAAGTTATAGAGATGACCTGCCAAAGTTTGGTTCTTCTCCCCTTCCTGCCATATGCACTGATCTTCAGTGGCAGAGCTGAGCCACCTCATGCATCA